GCGGTATAACAAGGGCGGGGGGTCGAGTGGAAAATTTCGCGAAAAGTTGCTCGAGAGCTATCTCGCCTCGTTACCCCGCGTTTCCGCCGCCCGCCAAGTTTACGAAAGCTCGCGGCCCCTTTCGTCCGCCACTTCGCTTCCGCGATATAATTTTCGTGGCCGTAAGAGAGCTCGCCTCTCCGCTCCCGCCGACAATTTTGTCGGATAAAGTGGTCGAGATAACCGGATACGACGGCCAAAAGACAACTCGTGGCGACATTCCGCAACGACTTTGTCTTTTTTTTCTCCCTTCCCCCCCTCTTTCTTTTTCCTTTCATTCAACTCTACAATCATCTTCTCGCGCGCTATTTTTGTTTTCCTCCCGAAATTGTGGCAAATTTCCAGTTCCAAGAATCGTTTTAATTACACGACCGACCGACCATTGTATAACGGATTAGTCGTCGATAGAATCCGGTGAAGGTTCGATCTCGAGAGACGAGTGGCAATAATCGTTAAATTTCTACGTGTCGGTTTTCGAGAGATCCCGTATTCTTCCTCCAACAGCGTTATCGAGAAACGTCAACAAAATTCGAACACATCCTCCATTAACTAACGAATTACTAACGATTAAACCATATCTTTGATAAATGTATAGAATCGTTCGAAATCTGCTATTTTGTCGATCGTTCGATTTCGTGAAACGAATTCGAACACCGTTCCTCGCGGACTAATCGTTTCTTTCAAACTCGCCACGTTTCATTTTTCCTAGATATCCTGCCGGTAGTATATATTTACGCTCGATATTTACTCTCGGTGAAACGAGCGAGGAAGGAGGAAGAGTCACGACCGAATTCGAATTCGACCTAACTTTTCTCTTTTCGTTACGCGGTTCGTCAAGTTTCTCCACTTTTTTTTTTTTTTTTTTTAGAACTTGCCGAGAAACTCAGCGCGACGAGAATAACGACCCATTTTCGCCTACGTTCGCGCAAATTCTTGACTTGACCGAAACTTGTTTGTTTACATTCACTTTTTTATTCGTCGAAGGTGAAAGAGAAGTCACGCGCGACCGATTCGGCGAAGGAAACGGGAAACAAAGGAACGATCGATGGTGTGTAATTAGTTGGGCAAAGTAATTAATTCTGTTGGCATGGTTGACGTCGAGAGTTGAGTTTTGCCTGCAAATGTTATAAATGCGAATCAAAAACTTGTTCCCATTTTTTTTTTTTTTCGGATGTCACCGTCTTTCCAGGGAAAATTGCTTTCCCTGCTTTTTCCCCTCGTTTCCTGTTCCCCACCGACAGAGAGCAAGTCACGTTGTCGCTTCCTAAAATACGTTGGTACGCGCGGCGAATCGTTCCTTACTTCTTTGTTCCATCGATCGATGTTGGGTTCGACGTTCGATATTTTGTTTCCAACTCGTGATAATTCTCGAGGCGAAAAAACTCGATGATAGATGATTCTCGTGCAGGTGGAAAATATGCGGGTTGTATCGACGCGCGAGTAATCGAATTTAAAAGTTTTAAACAATGGAGGAAATTTTTATCCGTTAATCTTTCGATACCATTTTTCCTCGTTACCTTCCTAATTCCAGTTTATGGAATTAGGAATTTCGAAAAGTTGCAGTTTCTCGTATGTTTTGACGGGGTTATACGCGGGTCGGAATAGGAGATAAGTTTTCGTTAACGATATCTAATCGAAAATAAGGCGGATAAAAACGTGGGGCAAAAGACACGGGGACGGTTGAACGATCATTAATGCTTGTCACGTTTTCCGATTGAAATTTCTTCCCACAATCGATGGACCGACCGAGCACGAGCATTCTTAATGCGCAAGATGTTTGGTCGATTAATCGAGGAAAAGATCGGGGAATATATTAGTAACGTACGCCGCTTTCGATCGGTTATCGATGAAACCAACGAACGAATTTTCCATTCGAATACTATCGTTTCGAAAGAAGTGCATCAATAAAGAGACTGTTGGAAACTTATCCGGTGAAACACTAGCGATGAGACGATGTATATCTTTACATCGGAATATAGTGGATCTCCAATAACGGGGAAAATTTAATAGTTGAATTATTTCGATAATTTATCGTTTAAAATAATAATAATCGCAAATAATAGCAAAAGATGGTCAAGATTATATGAAAAGCTACAAATAATAAATGTTATTTAAGCATTTTAATAAGTAATTAATCGAAGTGACTTTATTCCATTATTATTTTTAACTAGTTACTTTTTTCAATGGGTAATGACGATACTTAAGAAATCTTTGTCGTTTCGAGCTCTCTTAAGATCAAGTTTCCAGAACTGTATTCATGTTTGTTAAGTCTTTTATATAAGAAATTATTCGGAATTATTGTTCTCGAATTGAGGGAAATAGAAAGAAAAATGTTTGATGTTTCTATCATAGCCACGGAACAATATTGGACACGGATCGAGAGAACGGTAAATTGGTGGAAAACCGAGGGGGAACGAAATGGGGCATAAGAAAGGACGATCGAAGGCGGAAACGATAGAAGTGAAAATCGAACGGAGGTGCTCGAGTAAAGAGCACGGCGACTATCTATAAGCAATTACGAAGAGAGAAGTTGAACGGGAATTCCGGCGACGCGTTCTTTCCTCGAGAATTATTGGCCGATCGGTGTTGTGTCGTTTGCAAATTGTAGCGAAATTAAATATCGTTACACACACGCGCGCGCGCGCGCGCACGTTGTACAGCCGATCGATAAACGGTCAACCGCGGAGGACGAATATGTATACACGAGCAAAACGTAACCTATCGTTCAAAGTTTTCATCGAAGCGAGGATCCACAATTGGATCGAAGGCAACATCCAAAAGTCTCTCTCGAGTATTAAATTTCTCGTAACATGGCGAATTCTATGTTCCTTCTTTTCTGTTTCCTTTGATTCACTTATCGCTCAATTTCATCACCATTCGACATTCACTGGCAAGAAACACAAGTATTCTAATTTCGTATTAACGTTCTTCAGATTCACGAACAATTGTAAATGATACATGTAGCAATTTGCGAATTGAATTAACTAATGACACTTCACGCCAGAGTATATATAAGTACCTACTGTTCACTGGTGAAAAGAAGGACGCACAGGGGCAAGAGGGGTTCTTCGCTAGGACCGTTTATCCCCACTTTAGACACTTTGTTGACATCGTATACTGCACAGTAGAAAAAGAATTATAATTGAAATATTCAAAATCGAAAAATTATTTCCATTTATGAAGTTACATTAGAATAATCATTTAAGATTGGAAGCTGAAATATCATCTTATTATCTTAACTATTCGAATACAAAATTACATTTATAAATTAAATTAATGTTACAAATCGCAATTAGCCTATATATTTTATGAGAAATAAAAAAATTTTTATATTATATCGATACTCTGGATTAATGCATCGAAGTTTAAATATAGACCGTCATTTTGGACTAATAATATGTAACAAATGTCATAGTAGAAATGCATGTGAAAATAGGCGTTTCCTTCAGTATTGTTCACTGGTGGAAAGAGGTCTCGCGAAACGGCACAGGGGCAAGAGGGGTCCTTCGTTAGGACCGCCTATCCCCACTTTTAAACGTTTTGTTGACAATCCTGACAATCCGCACACTGCATAGAAGAGCTATAATTTGAACATTCAAAATCGATAATGAAATATTTTCGAAACTATTAATTATTTTGATACGAATACGAAATTACATTTATAAATTATACTTGTTATAAATCATAATTAGCACATTATAAGAAATAAAAAAATTTTTATATTATATCGATTTAGAATTCTCTGGATGCTTACGCTTAATGCATTTAGATACAAATCGTTTTGGATTAGTATATATATGTGACAAATGGTATGCGTTTTTTTCCTTAAAATTAACCAATCAGACCCGCGTTTCTTCCGCGAGATTTCTTTTCAGCAACGAACAGTATTTGGCATTTAGCTGGCATCTGCGTCTATGATGCGATGGAAACCTTTTCCCTATTCACGAAGCCGGAATCGGATTAACTCGAGGAACCAAGTACCGTAGCCGAACATTTCTCGTTTCAACGTTAATCGAGTATAAAAGTATATTACGACTGTATCGCGTTGGAACCACGAATTAATATCCGTCTGGTAGAATAAAAATTTTTCGGAGACTCGGAGCGAAGTAAGGAAATAAAAAAAAGAAAAAAGAAAAGAAAAATGGGAATAAAACTTTGAGGGAAAGCAAAAGGAAAGAATGAATTTGGCGAGAGATGGAGAAAGAAATATCGCGATCCTGATGTAAGAGGGGGGAGAAATTTTTATTAACGTCTAGCCGGGATGCAGTGCTGGCTTTTCGCCGAGTCGCAATGACGCGTTTTTTTTTTTTTTTTTTGCCGTTGAAATTCGAACTCGGTCTCGGTTAGGGCACGACTCCCTGTAATATACGTGCATATATCTGCCGCGTTATTCGCGAAACCTGAGCGCCGAGGATGGTTACAGTTGTCCCGGTAGCGACGGTCCACGAAGGAGTGAAGAAGCGGTTGATGAAGCGGGCTAGGGGAAGGATGAAGTTGGAGTAAAATCTTATCATCGATATCCACCGGGATTCCAAGTGCCAAGTAAACAGACTCGTATTTGAGATTTCCCATGCGGGGTTGACAGACTGAGAGGGAACGAGTGTTAGAACGAGATGGAGGAAGACGTGGAAAAAAGAGGGGAAAAAGGAGAACGGGATAAGGAGGATAAGTGAAACGCGAAAGAGGAAGAGAGAAGCGGTTGGGCCGGGAGGAAGGAAGCGGAAAAAGAAGCGAGAGAGAAAGAGAATGTGTGTGTGTGTATGTGTGTCGGGATGTTCGTGGACACGATGAAAACGAATAAAGCGGACCCGGATGTCCCTTAAGAGATCTTCATCGAGAGAGCTTTTGTACGTAATACCGCGAGCTCGAAATTACGTTCTATCATCCCCTGTTCCTTCATATTTCTGAGATGCTAATAATACTATACGCTCGAGCGCTCTGCGAGTAAGAATCGCGGCTCGAGTCGAGAAATTTGATTTTGAAATTGTACACCTTCGCATCGTTTTTTTCTTCTTTTTCTCTTTCGCAACGCGTTCTACGCGTGCGTAACGAAGCGTTTTCGTTTCGAACGCGTGAAAACGAAGCTTGCGATTCCTCGCGCCGAGTAACGGATTGTAGTATGCAGTCAACTGTCCAGGGAATAGTCGAGTATTTACCGTCGTGTTTCGGTATTATTAATCGAAAATCCCCCACGGTTCCCATATTCCCGATGGATAATTCTTCGGTGAATACGAATATTTCGACCTTCTCGACGGCGGTCGAGAAACAAGCAGCCCTCGTTTCGACTCGAACAATGCGAGGGGCGGGGGGAGGGGGTAGAGGGGGAGGGACTAGCTTGATTTTTTTCTTTCCTTCGCGTAAAATTCTATTTCTATTTGCCTATCTGTGATTATTTGCGTGTGGATCGAAAATTTTTCGAAATTAAGCGAGAAGTTTGGCGTAAAACGTTGGCGACCGTTTGATCCCCGTCATTTGTTCATTTCGGCGCAACGTCAATATCAATCCGTTCTAAATTTTCATCCTCCAGTGACGGACACGTCACGTCCAAATTAAGGGTTAGACAGGGAAGAAGTTTCGTGGTGATAAATCTCACCGAAATTCGAGTTTCCGCTTCTGCTTCCTTTTTTGTGTTTTCTTCGTCCCTCCCCCACGTTTTTTTTTTTTTTCCTTTCCTTTCGCGTATTCGACATATCCAACGACGCTCGAATCGTCGGATCCGGTTGAACTTGGATCGTGCAACGAGGGAGGGGGAGGAGGGTCGAGTGAGGGACAAAGATCGAGAGGGGCAAAGGAAGAAGGAGAAACCGAGCCGCGTGCTTGTCACTAAGGAAATTGATTAACGATTAGCTGTGAACGAGAATCGCAAACATGCTGTCCGAAAGGATCAAATACGCCATGGAGCATTTGTCCCACAAACAGCACATCTCCCTGTTGGCACGGCCCAACTGGAGAAGAATCCAGAAGAAACACGTGCACATTTTGGTGAGTTCTAATAATCTTTGTCTCTCTCCTTTTCTCTCTTCTAGCGTAACTTTTATTGTTGTTATATATAGTTATAAATAAAAGATTATATTCTTAATATAAAAAATCTTGATAATTTATATAATTTATAGAGATAATTTTAAAAAATAAAAAACCACTTCTCTATATAGCTATGAATAAAATATTATATTCTTAATATAAAAAATCTTAATATTATATGATTTATAGAGATAATTTTAAAAAATAAAAAACCATTTCTCTATATAGTTATGAATAAAACATTACATTCTTAATATAAAAAAATCTTGATATTATATAATTTATTTTAAGCATTTAAGCGTTTAAGCACATAAAATTTTGAATTTTATAGAATTAATTAATTTAGTTAAATTATTAGTTAAATTATAGGATGGATTATTAGTTAAATTATAACATTTAATTTGCGTTTAAAAGTTGATAACAATATTATATATAAGAATATAAATTAATTTAATTTAATTTATTAATTCTTAAAGTAATATGTCCGATAAGAGAAATATTTTGATAAAATATTTACGTATAATTTTTAATATTATTATATTAATATATTAATGTATTAATATATTAATATAATTAATGTAACTATTAAATATAAATTATTATTATTAAATATAATATTAATTATTAAATTAATTATTAAATATAATCATATTAATATATTAATATACTAATATAATTAATTGTTGTCGGTTTGATCACCAGCCGCGACCCTACAGCATCCGGCGATCAGCGTTGAAAGCACGAGCATCGAAAAGAATCAAAGTGATGGCCCAGCCGAAACACATTACGAAAAAATACGATCCAGCGTGAGTATTGGAGCCTGTGACGCTCTTCCGATTCATTTTCGGCCCAACAACCGGCCTCATCCTCCTCTCCTCGTAGAAAAGCACCGCCACTGTTTCCGCGTATCCATCCGAAAACTCTCGCGGCCAAAACCACGAAACGCATCAACGACTTGGCACTTCCCACAAAGAGGTGATTCCACCCATCTATCTCACCCACCCCCTGCCGGGAATTAACGAATTGTTGTGTTAATCCGTTCCAGAACACTGTTGGCGAACATGAGGTTCCCGACCAGCGCCAACATAGCCAACACACTTTTGAGGGTACAAAAATCACGTTACCGGAGGTATCGATTCTTCTGCAACGCCAGGCAACAGCGAGAGATAAAGAGGAAGTGAGCGATTTCGGAAATTTAACTAAAGTCGAATTTGTTGAGCGATTTGTTATTTAACCCTTTGCGCTCGAATGGTGGCGATTCTCAGGCATCACTCATCGGTTTGATAACTCGAGAGGTGACAACATTTTTTTATTTATTTGTTTGATTTTTTTTTAAATATTGCTTCATAAGTAAATTTCTAAGATCTTTACGTATAATCTTGTAAAGCGTGGAATAATCAAACGATTAGATTTTTTTGTCTCAAATTAGAGAAAAACATATTTTTGACCGTATTTGACAATCGTGGAAATAGAAATGTTACTTTCAGTTTTGTAAACATGGAATACGGTAAAATGAAATTAGTTCGAACGAAGATGAGTTTGATTTTTCGTTAAATAACGAAATTATTTTTAATCATTGAGAAATTGATAATAGAGAGCAAAAAAATGAAAATAGAGATATAGTAGAAGAGAAGATGAAAAAAGATGAAAAAACCGAGGATGCATCTTGGTTACGTTATTATTAAAATATCACACAAAACAATACAATATAGATTTTGATATTCGACAAATTTTCTTTCTTTACTCGTAAAGATATGTAAAATATTAGAATATAAAAGTTTTATACGTTAATTTGCGCGTGAATTCGTTTTAAGGTAGCTAAGAAATTTATGGAACGGGTGCGAGAAATCGTGTGGAGTTATTGGTTCGAGCGAAAAAGGCTTCGAGTGCAAAGGGTTAATAATTTAAGGTTCAAGACGATAATAATAATAATGTAATTGCATGTAACCGAGAAAACCGAGCCAAGGTTTTTATAGGCCACTATATAAACGTTATTCGATGAGTTACTTTAATGAGTAATCGCTAAAGTAATTTTTAAAATAATTATTCGATTATTTTCGAACACCGGTTGCTTTTACAATCGGCTTTTACATATCGCTCGACTCTGACGTGGAAGCGTTCCCCTTGAGCCTCGAGACAAAGAAGGAGTGGGAGAGGTATTCTCTCCTCGAATACGAAACACGAGCATAATCGGATTGCCCTTCGAACCGGTCTCTTCCGGCCTCGAGCCAATCTGGATACGATCACTCGAGAGGATTCGCCGGGAAGCGAGACATTCGATCCTTCCACTTTTCGTGTCGATTTTCCCATGTCAAACTTGGCGCGCCCATTCCCAGTTACCAGACACGAGTATATCCTAGATAGATGTAATTATTAATAGTGCCCAAGGGCGTTTCTATGAAATTTACTCTCTCCTCGCCCCTCTCCCTCCCTTCCTTCCGTCCTTCATCTTGCTCCTTCTGTTCTCGCGCCATCCACGTCAGGGGATAATATCGAAATAATTCGATTTCTCGCTCTATAATTTTCCCGATTCCAGGCAAAGGATAATGGCGAAATTGCGTCGAGCGATCAAACCGGACGAGTGGGAACACCACATGGAGGTGTTGGAGATACTGTCCGCTCCCAAAGTCCCGCCCAAGCCTAGACCCGTGCGTAAGATCAAAATTGTCCAACGGATCGAATTGAGACCGAACGTCGGGCAACTTAGAAAGGGAAGGGAGGGGGGTAGATAGATAGACGCGTTCCTCGTTGATAGATCGAGCAATAATAGATCGGCGACGAACGGGAAAGGATAACGTAGAAAAAAAAAAGAAAAGAAAGTTCGGAGATCGATAAATAGAATCGTTGAATCGCAGATCAAGAAGAAGAAATGGAGGCCGTTCAACGTACGGAGGTTGGAAGAGTTGGCAACGCCGCCCACGAGAGAGATACCTGTGAGCAGGGACCCGTTCAAAGTGCCGATAACCGCTCTCACCTACAAGATCAGCAAACGCCTTCTCAAAATCGCGTTCCCGAAAATACCGGTGGAGATCATGCCGCCTCGTATCCCCGGCAAGGTTTCCCCGGCCGCGCTCAAGGCCGTAGGTACCTACTTCTCCAATTTTTTTCCTTTGCCTCTCCTCCCCCCCTCCTCCTCACTTCCAACTTGCCACTCAACGCGGACGAAAAATTTTCGACGGATCTCGTCGCGCGTGTTTACTTAAAACTGGAGTTGGAAAATGGCCAAGTTGGAAAATTCCCTTGTTCGAAAGTTTTCCACGGGATTTAACCTTCGCCTTTGGATAGAGGAGATCGGTTTAATTCCCTTCCCTCTTCCTATTCGGAAGGAGCGCGAGACGGCCAAAGTGTAATTAGAACGATATTTTAGAAGCGATTAAACGACGTTTTACCGACCGAGCCGTTCGAACGAAAGGCCACCACTTTCCTCGAGTAGTGGTGGAAAGCGATTGCTGCTATCTGCTCGCAACAAAATGTAAATTCCCTTCGAAATTTTCTTTTCACGCGGTTAAGCGCGGGCAACCGCGAGACAAGTTTGCGGCGCAACTGTTCCCAATTATCCGGCCATTTTTCGCGTAACGCCCGCTTACCAACTCTCGTTAGATTAATTCTCCCTCTTTCGAGGTTATTCGTCCGCGTCGAGTGGAAGCATTAGAAGAGACACGCGGGATGCATGGTCTTTAATTTCGTAGCCTCCCCAAGGACGATAAACCTTGCGAAACCGGTTGAACGGCCCGCCGGGATGGAGACGGACCTAAGGGAAGACGCTTTCACGGTCTCGCCGCTGGCTTTAAAGGCGAGATGCTCGAGGCGATTGAAAATGTTAGCCAGACCCAAGAGGAGAAGATGATCGCTCGCGTTTCATATCGCGACCGTGTCTCCTTAATCCTCGATTGTGAGTCGTAAATGCATAGATTGCCGTCTTCGTATTATCGTCCTCTATATATGTAAACGCGTTAAAAGCGTGTTCACGTGTATCAAAATGTAATTAATTTTAATATATAATCTAATCTCTCGACGAAATTCAATTCTTTCTAACTGAGAAAAGAAGAAAAATTCGACAGTTTCCGTCTCGAAGAGGAGTTTCTTCACCTAAGTTAATTTTATCCGATTTTGAAACGAGGGAAACCGCTATTATCGGTATAAACCTCGAATCTATGGATCGGCGAATCGCAAAGTCAAAGTTCCGCGTAAACATATGCCGATCCGAATTAATACGATCGCTGTTTCGCCTAGGAATCAAGGAAACTATATATATATATATATATATATAATCGCACTGTTGCTGGAAATTCCATGGCCGACGCGCGCCGATCTATCTGCCGCGGATCACTTAATTCCCGAGTAACTAGTCTCCTCCCTGCTTCTCTCCTCCCCTGAACTTAGTTAATAGGATTCGAGGCGCGAGGAATTTGCGAGGCGAAGGAGAAGTTCAAATATCGCAATCATATGCGAGATAACGATCGTTGCGCGTGAAATAAATATGATTAAATACATCACAATCGCGAAGGAAGGAAGGAAGGAAGGAAGGATGTATATAAAAATAAAAAAAGAAGAACGACTAATGGACTGAAAAGGCTGTATTCTATAGCCGTATAAAAATGTCGAAGATGGTGATGGAAAAAAAAAATACAATGGGGAATTGTGAAACGACAGTTAGTGTGTTTACACCGGATCGATGTCTCGCGATACAGGGGGAGGGGGAGAGAGAGGAGAAAGTAGTTCGATGCTCGCGTCACGTAGGCCCTCTCGCTGCGAACGGACGTCCCGTGCCCGATAGAAATTCGATAGAAAAGAGTCCCGAACGTGTGTGCAGTTTCTCTTCCTCCGTCAAGCGAGCCACCGATCGTTTCCACTCGTTCCAACGGTTTTGTAAATAGAAGACTATCTTTTTTTTTTGTTCTCGTTCTCGTTTCGACGAAAGCGCACCACACCTTCGTCTCCTCCTGACTGGGCAAATTTGCTCGATTGGAGGAGAGGGGACTCGGTCTAAAACGCAAAAAATTATCGTCTCCACCGTTTTCGACGAGAATAAGCGTTGTTGCCACGTTGCTTGATAATTTCGTTCTCAATTCGAATTAATATTGTTCTCGAGAGAACGAGAGTGAAATCGCTCGTATAAATATAATATTTGCCCTGGCTTCCATCCGAGATAAACGAATATACCGTTTCTCGTATATTTATTATTAAACTTGTTATATGTATATATAGACAACGCTGCCTCGATTTCGAACAGAATTTATACGACCATCTTATCGACTTCATTGTCGATCGTCGATCTGTATCCGTTTTTTCTCGATCTGTATTTTCATTCTTCATTCGATTGGGAATACCAATTGTACAGTAGGTATAAACACTCTGAAGGATCTCCTATTTTCCGCCCCTCGAACTTTTTCATCTCATCTCGACGGAAATCATTATAGCGGGGAAAAGGTTAGGAAATTTCTATTTCAAATTTTCGCGATTAGCCGATTGGAATGTATACACGCGGAAATAGGGGGCTGTTATCGACGCGTACGTCTAGTAACGAGCGGGAAATGTCGAATAACAATAGGAGGGACAAATATCGCGAACGTACAATGGGTTACGCGGGACATGAATCGACCGATGTTGGCTTCGCGTAGCGGAAAAAAAAAAAGAAGCGGATGTTAGCGTAGCCGTGGTAATTGAAGAGGTAGTTGGACTGGAACCTTTTCGAAATACATCCTCTTCCCCTCACTACCACGTGACGAATGGAATGTGAATGTAAAAGGGTTGAGGACGAGTGAAATTCTCTTACGATTCCGTCCACGTTTGGACACTCTTCTGCCCGGTTGTCAGCCCGGACCAGTCATGTCTTTTCCCTCTCTTCTTCCACCACATCTCTCTCTCTCTCTCTCTCTCACTCTCTCACTCTCACTCACTCATTCATTCTTCTCTTTCACCCATCTTCATCCTCCCGGTACCCTCGTTGTGTAGTGCAGTAAAATTTCAGTCGGACGTTGGAAGAGTTAAAGGTTTAACGGAAACGAACGTGTAATTGAAGATAAGCGAAATGTACGAAACTGAAAATAGTTATTAACTCGATATTAAACGGATGGGAAGGAATATTCCGCATTTCTGTAACAAGTTTGTATTAAAACGGAACTTTTCATCTCGGCCGGTTCGTTTCTTCAAAGGAGAGAGGAGGTATTAATAAAACGGGGATTCCTGCAATCAAGTTTCGAAAACTTCTCGATATATATATATATATATATATAATCGCGAACATTATAAAATCGAAAATATATATTTCGTGTTAAATCGCGTAGATAGTGGAACGATATTGTTATGTAAAATAATTTGAAACATTTATACTCGATAATTATTAATTGGTAATTGATTTAACGTGCAAACTTTTCAAATTAAACGCTCAAGTACACGCACGCGAGTGTAAAAATATCATCTAATAAATTCTCTCTCTCTCTCTCTCTCTCTCTCTCTCTCTCTCTCTCTCTCTCTCTCTCTCTCTCTCTNCTCTCTCTCTCCCCTCCCTCCCCTCCCTTCCCCTCCTCTCCCTCCCTCCATTATTATTCCTTCTTTCCTTCTTCCATCTTCGCACGGCCATTAAATCGAAAATTACCTAACGCATTCGTATCTCGCGTTAATAATTCCTACGATAGAAAGAAAAACAAATTGCACGTCATCTCGCAAGTTACCTGTTTACTGGCAGGCAGCGTTTCTGCATGGTATGCCGTTTTAAATCGTATCCAAGCGAAACATTCGCCGAAGTGAGGTCGAGGTTCGGCTTTATTGGATATCGGAAAACGTCCCTTCTCTCTCTCTCTCTCTCTCTCTCTCTCTCTCTCTCTCTCTCTCTCTCTCTCTCTTCGTTCTTGCCGTAAAGACTGATCCTTGAAGATCAACGAGATCCTGCGGCCACCTACGATCATTGTTCAGACGAACGGCCATTCCAGGTCAATCCACGGGTCCCGTGGAAAAGCTGCCTTTGCGAGACCTCACCCTCCTCTTCGCCCCCCCCTCCTCCTCTCCTCTCCCCAGATGACGAACGACACGCTGACTCCCGTAAATTTTCAAACTTCCTCTTCCTGCATTATGTATAGCCGTCCAAGTAGCGTTTTCAAAGCTTGGAAAAGCAAGCAATCGCCACGGATCGAGAGATTGAAAACCGACCTTTTTGCCGACACACGCCACTGATTTATATACGGAGGATCGAGAAACGAAAGGGAGGAGGTGATCCATCTTGCGCTTGTCCTCCAACAAAAAAAGATTTCGCAAACGATCCTTGTGAACAAGGTATATCGCTCGTCAGAGTCGTGATAAGATCGATAGAAAGGTGAAAATATGGTTTTTACGAGAAAATTATCTTTATTATATTTTACAATCGTTCGAGACGGGTGTTTCATTCGATGCACTATTTGTGTTTTTAAATTTCTGCTTAACATCTCTTCAATAGGCCAATTTCAAAATTAAGGAATTTATAACTATAAGTAAGTGAGTATAACTAAATACATAATAATTACAAAATAAAATGAAACAAAAAAGATTTTGTCAATATGCAACTTCGTATCACTTTGGTTTTATGAGAAAATTTTCTTTGTTATATTTTATAATCATTCGAGTCGAGTGTTCCATTTCTCGCCTGGATTTGCATCGATTTCAAAATTAAGGAAGTTACGGCTATGATTAAGTGAACATAACTTCAACCCTCTTCATACCAAATACATAAAATCGTCGCAAGATAAAATGAAGCATGGAGCGCTGTCGCGATTCTACAATTGGCGATATGACGAATGGTAGCCGCAGATGGTAAAGTAGGATAAATAAAAAAAGGAAAAAAAAGCGGGGGACAAACTTGTATAATTATCTTAATTAAAAAGCAATTTTTCATTCTCCTCGAATCCCGTGGAAAAATTGAAACTATCTTGTCGAACAAAACAACGGGTAAATCACGTTGGGAACCGATATCATTATGCGTTTCCATTCGCAGAATCGTCAAAAGAAGCAATTGGCGAAATGGAAGTTGACGGGAAATCAAATCGAGTGGATCGTAGTGTTTCTTCGCCCGATGCTTTGTTTAAACGAATATTATTCGCTCGTCATCGAGTATCAATTTCGATATTTTTTCTCTATGTACGTTTAGTTTCGATAAAAAAAAAAAAAAAAAGAAGCGAGGATAGAAATTCGAATGCTTTCGGATCGATCCAAACCCGGACAAAGGGGTGCCGATCGTTCTTTTTATCCTCCGTTAAAATTAGCGAAACCTATATTCGCACGATGGTATTAACTCGTCCAAACGATTTTTCAAAACGATTCTCGATTCAACCGCGATTTGACATAAGCCCAAGTATTAATGTAATCAATATCCGGTATAATCGGTTGCCAGGTATCGTTACTAGCGGCCTCGGGCTACGCTCGATAAAACCAGTGTAACAACTATCCACTAACTTTTATACTTTCTCACCTGGATAATATAGCGTGAGGTGTGGAGGGCTCGATTAAAAAATTGCACGTCGTCGACGCGGGATGATGCTCGCGTGAAAATCGATAATCCTGTAAATCGGGACGCGACGAAAAAAAATGACGAGAAGCTCGTTCTCGATGATACTTTACGCGATCATTGGTTAATACGCGAGAATTAACGGGCGAGTCTCGCGATCGATCTTTCGCGATTAATTAGGCCGCGTCGAAAATAAAGTTAGAAGAATGTGATAAACGTTCGATGGAGATACGTTTCTTTCGTCAAGTTTCAAACTTTGCCTTAAAACGGTGTCCTCCAATTTTCCGTATCGCGTGTATTTGGGTCACAAGTGGGCGGGTTAATCGAGGAAAAGCTCTACGCGATGCTTTGCATAAAAAGGAGGCATAATTTTTTGCGCTGGATAAATTTTTTTTTTCGCATCGAGAATTTCGACGCATCTCACTGTAAACCTTTCTCCGCGAAAAAGTTGCTCATTTACGTAAATACGTGCAATAATATCTTTCTCATTACGAAATGCGAATGATATTTGATCGTAAGTATGTGATAAATTATTCAACTTGACAATTTATTACAATGTTCGCGAAATTCGTAAATAATTTAT